TTGGAGGGGCAGGGCAAGACCCCTTGGGCCTCGGAGTTGGCAGGGGAGAGGAGGCTTGCCGAGCAGGGTGGTGGGACTTAAGGGCCAAGGGGCCTGTGGGCTGGGGAGGCTAGGGAAGCCATCCTGGAAGAGGTGAGGGGAAACACACACAGACACACACACAGACAGACACACGCGCGCACACGCACACACAGACACATGCAACACACAGACACAGACCCACATCGACATAAACACATACAGACACATGCACAGAGATAGCTGTGTGGCCACGGCTTGGGGCTCAAGGATCTTGGGACTCCCACTTACCTGAGACCCACCTGACTACCCTCTAGCCAGCCCCTGAGTGATGTCCGCCAGATACCCTCAGCCACCCACCTGGACCAGTACCTGTACCAGCTGCGCACCCGCCACCTGAAGCAGATCACGGAGGCTGCCCTGGCCCTGAAGCTCAGCCTCAGGGAGCTCCCCGCTGCCCTGGAGCAGGCCGAGGATTGGCTCCTGCGTCTCCGGGCCCTCGCAGAGGAGGTAGCTCACCTCGCGTACCCCCTGCCTTCCTCTGCGCCTGCTTCAGGCTCGGGAGGGACACGATCCCAATCCTGGCTCCATCATTGCTGGGCCACCTCAGGCAGGTCAGGAACCTTCTCTGAGCCCCACAGGAGGAGGAGGAGGGTAAAAGCTACCACATAGGATTGATGAGAGCGTGCCCTGGGATTCTGGGCTCTAGGGGACCCACATAGATCCTGGGGCACAGTCGGTACTCGGTAAATGCCCCTGCCTGACAAAGGCTGTCAGGGACAAAGGGCCCGGCGTCAGGGCTGCTGCCCCATCTTCCTGCTCACCAGTGCCTCCTCCAGCCTCACATGGGTCCTGGTTTCCTGCCCTCCGGCATGGCGGCTCCTTTCGGTCACACTGGGTTTTGCCGTATCTCTTCCCTGGTGGTGCAGTGGTTATGGGTGCGCCACACTCCACAAGGTGGGCAGTTTGAGACCACCCCTGGGTCCTCGGGAGAAAGACAGGGCAGTCTACTCTCCTAAACATTGACAGTCGAGGAAACTCAGGGCTTTCAGAGTCAGATTGACACCATAGCAGTGAGGTTTTTTTTTTTCCTTTTTAAATCCCAGAGAAGGGGCTTCAGTTATTTTCCAGGGTACCCTTTCCTCACCTTGCATCTGTGAGGCTTGGAGCCCCCCTCCCCCCAGTGCCCCAGGCAAGCAGGCAGCCTCCCTGTGAGTGGGGGAAAGGTCAGCTTAAATTTGGGTGCCAAGGAAGGGGGTGGGGAAGGAGTGCCAGGCAGGGCACCCATGGGGAAGGGCAGGCCTGGAGGGGGCCTTCAGGAGGAGGTAGTTGGGGAGGGAAGTGGGCAGTCATCTGGGGGTGGGGAGGAGTGGCTCTTCAAGGGAAGGCCTTCCTGAGCAGGGACTGCGTGCCTGCGTCCAGTTACCAGTGGACAGGCTCTCCCCACCCACAGCCTGACCCTCACACTGACAGGGCACCATCCCCTCATACTGGACACAGGCTGCCTTCCCTGATCCTGGCTTGACTCACCCCTGAACTCTCACCACAGAGGGTTGAAGGTCACACAGTGCTACTGACTTCCAAAGACCCCCCACCCCCCCAGAGATCTCTTTACACTGCAGCCGCATCAGAACCCCCCAGGCTGGCTTGCTACAACAGCTTTGGGGGTGAGGACACCCCCAGATTTTATGCTCCAGCAGGTGTGGGTGGTGCTTGGCTCTAAGGCAACATTTCAGAAGCACGGCATGTTGAAAAGCATGCCCGCAGGCAGAGGATGCCAGGTTGGCACCTAACCTCTATAAGCCTTGGCTTCCTCACCTCCTGTGGAGAGCATGCAGGCAATATTGCTGATAACCTGCTCCCTGCCCTGGCTGCAGGCAGCCCAGAAACCATGCGGGTGACCACCCTCCCCACCTTCAACCCCGAGTGGCAGCTCTCAGGGTGGGGAAACCTGTTTGGAGGCCTAGCCCGATCCCTGGGCCCACTGAGCTTGCCAACCCCAGAAGCAGATGGGCCCTTGCCCACTTCTCCATCACAGGGCAGTTCCCCTCTCTGCTAGAGACCCTGATGAGAGGCAGGCTTGCGACGATGGTTCTGGGCTAGTCATCCTTTTCAGAGCCCAGTGCCCCAGGTCCAGAACAGGCCTAGTGCCCAAGGGCCCCCGCTGTGAGGGAGGCCAAAGCAGTGTCCCCTGGGAGGGCCACACCTTCTGTGGAGGGGCTGCTGTCCTGGGCAGTGAGGAAGAGGGGTGGTATTTTAAGCGCCACTCATCTCCCAGATGCAATGCAGGCCTCCAGTGCTCCCCACCTGCTCCCCCCCCCC